TAACTAATAGTATATATATATATATATATATATATATATATATATATATGTACCGCTTTCATTAATGTAGAAAAGAGGAGTCTAAAAATTCGGCCTACGATCCCAACACTTGAAAAATTGAAAGGTTCTATGGAATGAATTTAGTAAGGTTAATAATAATAGATCACGCCGAACGAGAGAGATTTTGTTAGAATTTCAATTTTGTGCTTTCAATCTAGTACGATGAATATAGATTGCGTAGAAATTTCGTGGAAATATTATCATGAATAATTGACACTGATTGCTGCCAGATTGTTACCAGCCGATAAATGACATTGTATTGGTGGATTATTCGGAGAAATTAGACGCAAACAAATTTTCGAGACATCGAGACATTTATCGAAAAGCGTTAGCAATTTTATATCAAAAGAATTTCCTGAACGAAATTAAGAATTATTCTTATATTCTTAGGAATTAAAAAATTGTGATTTAAATATGTCCTATATTTAGAAGCCTTAGAAAAGCGTCTCTGTGCGTTAATACGATTGATTGCAAAATAGAATAATTACATAGATTAATTTCGATAATGCGGAATAAAACCGTAAGTCTAACGTTAGAAAAGATAATTATGATTTTCGATCGATTGTTTGATATCTTCCGCTCTCTGGCGAGAGGCTACCGTGAGAATTAATATAAAACAAAAACGAAGTTTAACATAAATATGTATCGATAACTTACATAACGACTTTATATATACGTACCACGTATCGAACCTATGCGCGTTATTGATTGCCGATTAATATTTAATTGTTAGACGAATCAATCGAATGAAGGAAATGTTCCGCGGCGGAGAAGAGCGATACGATGTTTTTTTTGTAATTCAAAGCGCGTCGACAAAAATACTACTCAACGGCGCGGTGTCGGCTTTCGTAAAACTTCGCGATCGAAGTGCACGATGCACTTCCGCGCGCATTGTTAACGCTATGCGTTCGCTTCGATGTTATTTTTCTCATCTCTATGGCAATTCTCGCCTCTTCTTTTTTTTTTTTTAAAATGTTCGCACTTTTCACTTTCTCAGAGGATGGAGGATTTTTGTATCGAGAAAACTCGCATATGCGCATTATCGCGTGTGAATTAAATGTAGAAGCGTTCCTCGTGGACGCGAACGCTACAAAGATGCGAAGCACCTCAATACTTTAAAACTTTGGCAATCAGCGAAGTGACCAATTTAATGCCTTTACGCTTACTGTAAACATGCAGGTCGTTTCTACTTTCTCTACTCATTCAATGGTTTTTAACGAAATTATCGTTGTATAAATGTACTACACATATGTACAGCGTGATTCTCGATTATATATCTATTTATTTTATACATACAAGAGACGTATCTATAAAAGGAAAGAAAATAGTATCCGCAAACACGGATTATTTTCCAAGTTGCACCAATTAGAGTATGTGGGTGTACTCGGGGCGCGTGCATCGATTTAAATATTCATAGTACTGTGATCAGTCTCTTGCTCATCCTACTATAGATAACAAAAAGGAATTTACGATGAATCAAGCTTCAGAAACGCTCGTAGTTTTCTGCGATATCTCTCTTATATTTAAAATATTGATATATAATTAAGAATCACTCCGATATAAAATATGGAAAGAGATAATATATATTGTTTATATACAATAAAATTATATATCGCGTTAGTTCCGTTATTTCATATCCATTGCGATAGTGCAGCAATATGTTCGTGATGTCTTTATCTCATGCAGCTTCTCCATTTCCGTTCGTATTCACATCGCTTTGCTCGAGCGCATTAGATACATCGCTGAGTGATATGTCGCAATCGCGTAGCAAACTGGACGCCACGTCTGCTCGATCAATTCGTGGATCCATGCTGATATAGCTGCTTGGACGATGATCATCCTCTTTCACATAGAAGTATTTTCTCATCGGCAACACAAACTTCTTCGTTGGCAGTTTTAATATCGCAACATATTTCCATCTCAGCAATAATGCAGATCATGTTGTTATGCCACCGGCACCAGCAACATTATAGTGAAATTGTCATTGCCATAGGAGCTCAAGCAGAAATATTCACAGTGAACAGATCAGTGAAGGTGAAGATTGGATCAACCTTGATATCTCCCTCTTTAATTAAAAAGTATTAAAATAATCATATTTTTCATATTATTAAGGAAATATACAAGATAGGAAATAGCCTAAACATTTTTAAGATTGTTTTCTAGACATTTATCTATTGAATCCTTAAAGAATTCTTGATAAATTGATTTTTGATTTTGAAATAATGAACAGATGAACAATAATTGCTCACCTTAGCATTAGATATTGATGAAAAATATATACTCTACTTTAATAGCAATTAGAAATATCTCATTTTAAATTCTTTCGTGACTCGTAATTTTTTACACCGCGACGTGCACGCAAATGTTACCATTCCGAATTAGCGATCGCACGCCAACTCAGATGGCATATTTTGAATATCATAATTATCTAATAATCGTTGTAATTGTGATTTAACAAAACAGCTGTGACACTATTCAATCCAATTTCATAATGCAACAGGACTCTCTGCTAGAGTTGCAAGCTCTCAATGTTGAGATTTATATCGTTCCTAAAGTATTATACATTTTTTAAATATTTTTTATATATATTAAATGTACATACAGTTTTATACACATAAATGCACGAAGGGAGCTTACTCTGTTCACTGTCAATGTACGTTAGAATGACTTAAGTAATTTTAAAATTACTTAATTTTTTTTTACTTGACAAGCTCCTTGCTGTCATTGGTAGAATACATGGCTAGAACGAAAGAATCTGGCAGAAAAATCGTCGCTCTGCCTCGCGAATCGAAATATTCGATCGTTAAAGTTTGCGTTATTCAGGGTTAGGAAACCTGTCATACCGACGAAATGTATCGACGTGGGCAGGCGTTGTGACCACATGCGCATGCGTATCGCTCCGCGCAATATTAAAGCGGTTTTTAAATTTTTGTGAAATTGCATAATTATAAATTTTGTTCTAAAACAAAGTCTATAATTATTCGGATTTCTCATAAAATGAATTTTCACAAGGAAATTTTTTGCAAAATCCACTCTCTCCCCGCCCCATGCTTGGGGGAGGTCTATAATCGTTTGATTCCACATTTTATCAAATGAAGGGTATCTAGTAAAGTCTGTCTGCAATGTTAGAGATCGATCCGAAATTTCGAACGGAAATTGATTGCCTATTTCGACCAGACTGATCGATAGAATTGGTCAATTTTTCTGAATTTCCACAAGGGTTTTGCAAAATTCTCTCTCCCCCCGCCCCATGCTAAGGAGCAAAACGAGGTCTATAATTATTCGATTCCACATGGATTTACGACTTTCAACATAAAGTGAGTTTCCACAAGGATTTTACGATAGAGAAGATTAATCGTAAAACCCTTGTGGAAATCTGATTTTTTATTTTATCTTTATTTCGGATATCGAAACATTGTATGTACTATATTAATGGAAGAAAGAAAATGAAAAATACATACACACACATATTCGAATAAAGATTTTGTGTTTATTTTTTACCCTATCTTACTAAAATCTTTTTGGCACTGTTCACTCAACAATTTATTTTTCAGATTATTTTTAGTGAATATACGCGACACTACTAACCATTCTGTTATTAAAAATACAAAATCTGAATGCTCATTTAATAGCAGTAGACGAACGAATTAATCAGTATAAACTTCAAGCCATTGTTATATGCAACGATCTTTTCCGTTTCTTTTCCTCCGTTTCATTAATAAGAGCATGGGTTTTCCATTGATACTTCAGATATAGTTTATTATATCTCTATATGGCATATTTATTTATACGAAATATTTGTAATAAAAAAATCATTGATTTAATGTTGCATTATTCAAACGTGTACTTCTGTAATCGTTAAGAATTTTTTTATATCAGTAGTCGATAATATCGATAATACTCTTCAATTATCTCTCCAAATTCCCCGAATTTCTCCGATGGTCACGAAAATTTGTCCAATATCTCGTCGGAGTCGATAATTATAAAAAATTCTTAGAGATCATCGAGAGAGATTTACACTGTAAGTCCTTCTGAACGAAATGGACCTTTTTTTTTATTCATTACCGCAGATTTTCTATTCGGGCTTAAGGAAAAATTACTGCATTGATGCTTATAAATTATTTTATTTATCTAGGCACAACGTTGAGAAACACGACAGAACGCAATCGTCGCGCGCTGATTCTCGTCAAATTATATGCGCCGGACAAACGCCAAGAATCTCAAAAGAGCGATTCGAATGAGATCTAAACTAAAACTGGTATTTTCTTTCGAAGGCTTCGACATTCAGATTTTGATTATCAAGATATACAAGATCTGACATACAAGACGTCTGAAGTCTCTCTGTTCGATTGCGAATTTTGAAAATATCAAACTTTGAAATGTATTATCTTTTCTTTGTTTTTTTTTTTTTAATTTTAATTTTTATGCACGATTTCACCAACGTAGATTAATTTTAATCTCGATTCAACTTACTCTTCATCTTTTTCTAGTTCTAAGAATTAGAAAAAGATGAAGAGCAAATTAAACTTAGATTAAAGTAAATCTATGTTTTCTTTGGTGGAATCGGGCATTAAAGATTTACTTTCAAATTTTAATAACACGTGCAGATTCTGAGAACATTCAGATCGCATATGCATATATTCTCTTCATATTGGAGGTATACACAATAGGTCTTGTTTTTTTTTTTTTTAATAGCTAAATTACAGTCCAATGTAAGAATAAAAACAGGCTTTATACAAAAAATATACTGGACATTCAATTTTTTTCTTTCCCTTAGAATATATTGAAGCTACATCCTAATATTGAAAAATAAAACATTTTTTAGCTATAATGAATATCAATATATTGAATGTAGAATGTGTTCTTTAAATGACAAAAACCTTGAATAAAACTTGAATATACGAACATTTTTAGTACAATTTTTTTATATAACATATATTTGGAATATATAAGAAATAACATAGAATTTTTTTACAAACTATCAGAATATTCTCAGAGTTTAGATGTGCTATTAGGAAAACGCCGACTTGTCAAAATTCGAAAATTTAAAGTTTCCTTCGGAGCTATCGAAAATTAATTAGCCTTATAGCGAATTCCATTCACTACACTGCACCAGGTGCACTTTAAAGTGCACTTTAAAGACTGCTATATATGAAATATCTAAACAGTAGTAGCATAATATCACTTCCTTAATAACGAAATTATTAATTCACATTCAACTAAATAATGACAATTTCATTGTTGACTATTTATATATATCTATCATTTTGAAGTGCTTATGTATTTTTACATTTCAATAATTTCATGTATATCAGCATTTAGTATACCTTAACCCGGTATAATGCAGTGAATGGAATTCTATTAATCGTTCGGTTAAATCTTCTGTCGCGACGCAGCTGCGTTCTTAGCGCAGCCTAATGATTTCCTCGCGTTATACTCAAAATAAATACAGCCCTTTGATCTTTGCCTCTTTAAAGTAATAAGAATTGCGTCTGTGTATATTAATATATGCTTCAGCTTTCGCGGGAGTTAAATGTACATAAAATAACAACGTCGTATCCATGTTTCGAAGTTGTATCGGAAAAAAAAAAAAAAAACACACTTCCCACACTTTAAAGTATACTTAAAGTATACTGAAATACTAAGTATTTTAAAGTATGCTAAGTATACTAAGAAATAAAGTATACGGAAAGTATACTGAATAAATACACAATGCTAGCGACACCAACTCTCGATAGATAGGTTCCCTTCGGATTAAACGAATCATCCGAACGTTCCTTCCGTTTGAAAAAATATGATCTTGCCTATGTACACACATCGAATTTATTACGATTGTATATGCGTTCACGTTTACAAATATGTACATCTTATGCAAATCTGTATTTGTATACAGAGCTGCAATCACCTTTGATACTCGTGGCGGGAACGTTGTCGTCGGAGGAAAAGCCAAAGAGCCTATTTCTTTGATAGAATTACTTCAATTATAAGGTATAATTCAATTCGACGAATTATTTTCATTCTGGATGAAATATGTCAAAAATATGTATTACATATTTCCTGAATTACGTAACGTAGAGCGAATGAAATATCGGTTTCATAAAATCGCGCGACCAACAGAATATAGCGACGTGTCGCCGTCTTTGTCTCTACGAAGTATCAAAGTAC